AAAAGCCTTTTCTCAACTGAGAATCCTCTTCCCAGATAGGATCTTCTTCCTTGACAGAAAAACTAGCTAGCACACAAGGATGCATAACAAGACTTTGTCTCCCAAGGAAAAAAGAAAAACAAGGATCAGAAAATAAAGATAGGAAAATGTTGTTACAAAATTGAGCATGATGGCGGGTGCCTGTAATTCCAGCAATGGAAGGCAAAGACAGGAAGATTTTTCCAAGTCCAAAGCCAGCCAGAGGCTGTAAGAGCCTATATCAAAACAAGCAAACACACACCAAAAATGTCATTATAAACGTCTTTAATGTGTGAATTTTGATTGATAGTGATTTGGGGGGAAAATGGCTGAAAATCTGGAGGGATGGATCTGCAGTTAAGAGCACTGGCTGCTCTTCAGGAGGCCCTGGGTTTGACTCCCAGCACCTATATGGCAGCTCACAGTTGTCTGCGACTCCATTTCTAGGGGATCCAAAACCCTCTTTTGGCCTCCTCAGGTACTGCACAAGCACAGTGCACAGACATTCATGCAGGCAAAAGACCCACACACGCTTTTAATTAAAAAAGCTAAAAATATTGGGCTGAGGCGAAGATAAGGACTAGATACAAGATGATAAAGAATTATCTAACTTTTCTAGTTAACCTTCTGGGCTGGCAAGATGGCTCAGCGAGGAATTTCCAGAGCCCATGATTCGAGAACCAATGAGAGTGTCCTCTGATCCCCACATTGGCACCGTGTACTGCAAATGTCCACATTCCCTCTCACATATACACACACGAACAATGATTAGTAAAATGATTCTTTTGTTTGTTTGGTTTTTATTTTTGAGGCAGGGTTTCTCTGTGTAGCCCTGGCTGTCCTGGAACTTGCTCTGTAGACCAGGCTGGTCTTGAACTCACAGAGCTCCGCCTGCCTCTGCCTCTCAGAGTGCTGAGATTACAGTGTGAGCCACTGCGCCCAGCTTAGTAAAAATGACCCTTAAAGACGTTTCTAGTCAGCTCTCCGGGTGTGGTCACGGTGTTGTGATTATGTGAAAGGATGTTCTCCCGAGACACAAGTCAAAATTAGGGTGAAGTGCCCTGATGCCAGGGATGTCCCTAAGCCAACCTAATGAAGACTTAAATATTTAACAAGCTTGTGACTCCATACCCTATGGCAGCTTGAAATCAGCCATGATCGGCATATTATACCATAAAAGTCTTCAAGTGCCACCTGGAGAGCTATACTGCCTACAGCCCTTTCTCTCTCCCTCTCATTCTCCCTCTCCCCCTCATCTTCTAGAGTCCAGGCAGGCCTTAAACTGCTGGTCCTCCTGTTTCCAATTCCTGGGTGCTAGGATTCTGGGATTATAGGCATGGACTACCACACACAGCATTGAAGTTTTAAAATACCTTATAACTAAATTTTGTCTTGTTTTAGGGTTGTTCCGTTTATCTGCTTGTTTTAGTTTTTCAAGATAGGGTTCTCTGTGTAGCCCTGGCTGTCCTGGAACTAGCTCTGTAAACCAAGTTCGAGGGAACTCAGAGATCCACCTGTTTCTGCCTCCTGAGTGCTGAGATTTAAAGGTGTGTGGCACCACCACCTAGCTTATAATTAAATAAAAATATGTCTATACAAAATTCTTAGCCTGGTTTTCAGAGCTGTCCTGAGTCCCCTGACACCTAGCTCTGCCAGCTGGGCCGCTCTCAACTGCGTTCCTTCCATGTCCACTCTGCAGACTGCCCTCTGCCTATCTTCCTTCCTGAACATTCTGCATGCTGCTCTCTGCTGTTCTCTTGCACTGCTGAACCTGCGTCTCATCAAAGCCCCCTCCGCCAGGCTTGCTGGAGCCTCTCCTAGTTAACATTATCTGTCCTGCCCTACGCCTGTTGTCCCACGTCACTGCCTTGGTGTTGCTGCATTTCAGTTTCTCTTTAACTAGCTCCTGGTCCTTGAGCAGAGGACCATTTAACTCTTACATGTAGTAGGTGCTCCAAGAATTCTTAGAAATTCAGCATTTAACTACTTTTGTAGACATCCACATGCCTGCCATTGCCAGCCTAGAAGCCTAAAACATTGACTTGTCCAGTTTAGGTCCAGGGAGATTGCAGATAATGAAAACAGGGCCACCCTCTACCCACTAAGTATCTCTAGGAGCTGAGTCTAGCTGCCTTTGAGGTTACTGTATATCAAACCAAAATAGATTTGATCTGATTAGGTGGGATGACACAGGCCTGGGAGGGAGAGCTCAACAGTCTGAGCTGTAACAGTGGATTTCACTATCCACTAATCTGTGCTTTCTCATGCAGCCCCCCAGCCGGCCCCCAAGGAATTGCTATGGTCCTCACTGAGAGCTGAGAACAGTTAAGTGGCTTCCCTCAAATGGTAAAGATACAATAGAAACTTGAATCTGGTGGAGCGCCCAGTAATTGGCAGGAGGCTGGGGCAACCTAAACTGGGATAGTCTCAGTGTGGTGCTCAGAACCTCAATTGTAGTAGTAAGTGCCTCTGGAGGACGAGGCATCAGAAATGTGGCTCCGGGTGGACGGTGCCCATCTCCTGGAGGATGCTGAGGAAGAATTGCCACGAGTGGAAGGTGGGCAAGGACTATATAGTGAATAGGCCAGGCAGAGTGAGATGCTATCCCGCCCTCCCCTCCAAAAAACAATAAAATTTAGAAAATTTTAAGAAGTGAAGTGGCTTAGCAGGTAAAGCCACTTGCTTGCTGCACAACCTTGATATTAGTTTGATCCCCAGAACCCCAAACCCACATAAAGGTGAAAGGAGAGAGCCTGATCTCGTCACCCACAGTTTGGTGGATGCACACACACACACACACACACACACACACACACACACACACTAAGAGAAACTGAAAATTTGAAAAAATGTGGTGTCTTCTATCTATTATCCTGAGTAACTGAGTTTCCTGGCCCTCTGACCCCTTGATTATATCATTAGAGAAATAAACCAGCATGTATTTTTATTCGTGTTTTGTGCATTATACAGAATGTAGCCTGAAGTCTTACGAGGAAGTCAATAGAGTAGAAAATTAAAATACAACACCACGACAGTACTGTACGGCAGAAGCACACAAGCTGCTCCGGTCGCCTTGAGGTAGAGGAGCAGCCAGCCCGGCACCATCCTTCTAGGTGCAGAGTGCCTTCCATCCAGGGAAAATCTGGGTGCACCCCAGGGAAGCTGGGATGCGGGCTCTGAAAAATGCAGGCAGTTCCTTTTAATACATGAGCAAAGGCAGGAAGGGAGCAAATGAGGCCGGGGAGGAGTGAGACTCGGAGGAAGGATTCTCCATCCTCCTGAGGGAACTTGGACTGCTAAGGCTGTTGGAAGGCAGTGCAGATTTTAGGCAAGACTTGTAAAGCTCAGCAGAGCAGCATGGGGGGTGCGCTACGGGGATGCGGAACGGGCTGGGAAGGCTCTTTAGGAAGTGAAAAATATCCTTCCTGGGGGATGCTGAGGGCCCCAGTGTAAAGGATAACAAAGTATATATATGAACAGTATAAAGGATGAACAAAGCATGGATCTGAGAGCGCCAGTGGAGCTGCACAGATGAGGACTCACTGAAAACAGCAATGAAAATGTCCACATCCAAGCCTGGCAGTGATGGCACAGGTGGCACACACCTTTAATTCCAGCACTCGGCGGGAGGGTGGGGGCGGGGCAGCGGGAGGCAGATCTCCGAGTTCCAGGACGGCCAGGGTTACACAGAGAAACCCTGTCTCAGGAAAACATCCACATCGTTGCAGGCAGGAGACCCAGGTATCCAGGCTGAAGAGCTTCTCGCTGCATGTCTGGCCGCGGTGCCAGAGGAAAGGCCCAGGGGGGTTCACATGGACACGTCCACGCTGCAGCCCCTATGTCCCATGCATCTTCCATGACTCACAGACTGGGCCTTGCTTCCCGGCCCCACCCGGTCTCTAAGGGTCACAGAGTTCTGCCTCGGGTGAGCTAGCCTGGGACGGCCTGGTGCCTGGCCGGGGAAATGAGAGATACCGTCAAAGCATCCACTGAGAAGATTATTGAACTGGGGCCAAGTAATTTAAGGTCAAAATGTGAAGGCTTTTCCAGCTCTAAATCGTGACCAGTTTGTCTCATTTTTTTTCAAGATTTTGTTAGATGCTTGTATGGGTTTGAGCACACAAGTGCAGTTGACTATGGAACCCGTGGGATCTGGAGTTACAGGCTATTGTGAGCCACTGGGGCCTGGACTCAGGTCCTCTGAGGAGCAGTACAAGCTGAAGCAGATCTACAAACCCCATTTTTGGTTTTTTTGTTGGTTGCTTTGTTTCAGAGGCTAGCCATGTAGTCCTAGTTGGCCTCTACCTCACAAAATCCACTTGCCTCTGCCTTCAAGTGCTGGAATGAAGGGTCACCGCTGCCCCTGCTGACCCCTTGGTCCTTTCTTAAAGTCTCAGAGAGAGATTGGAAGTCAGTTTTCTGCTTACTGAGAGTTTATTTTATTCTTTATAAAAATTCTTTGTTCCCTTCTTCCCAAGGAAAATATTTTGGTTTTAAATAAGTCATAGTCAGATTTAATAATATATGTCCTTCTTGAATTTCCATTTTGATTATCGTGTCAACATAAGGTGTGTTAAATTCTTTTTAAGTTCGAATGAAGATGTTAGTGGGGGCTTCCTGCATAAAATATCAGGCTGCTGAATTCGGAGTACCAGAGATGTCACTGTGTGGCCTTCATTACCGCCTTCCCAGCGTGGCACTTCCAGCAGATCAAGGGGTGGCTGTGGGAGGAGATGTAATTGGGCTGATGGGAGCCTATTGTGCTGCTCTCTGGAGCGTGCTCACGTAGCCTGAGGGAGGTGATGGTGCCTGGAGAGCACCTGGAAAGATGTCCTCTTTCCTCAAGACAAGAGAGCAGAAATACTGGATTTACGTGCTTCCTGTCCTTGTTTGCAACGCATAGCTCTCCCCCCGCCCCCCGTTAAATGTAGTCCTTACTGTACAACCAAAAACTGACTTATTGTGCGTTTATTTCTTAACAGTTGCGAGAAACAATCAAAGCTGGCAAAGGTGTGACTTCAGCTATTGACCTGTGTCGTTACCATGGAAACAAGGCCCTGGAGGCCCTGGAGAGCTTTCCTCCCTCAGAGGCCAGATCTGCTTTAGAAAACATTGTGTTTGCTGTGACCAGATTTTCCTGACACCAAATTAAAAAGACACTATTGTTCCTTAGCTGAAAAACCCAGAGAATGCGTGGACAGGAGAGCTTTGTGAGGAAATAACTAATGTGTTAATGACTTTTAAAATACATGTGTTTTTTACCTGTCCTTTATCTCATGCTTAATGAATCTACCTTTTGGAACCACTACAAACAAAATGGGAAGGAAAAAAGGTCACACGGTTTTCACTTCTCACACCAGAGCACACTTGAAGCTGCAGCAACAGCAATAATTAATGAGACTCGCTCCTGTGACCTCAGCAAATGGACAGGAAACAAGTCCTTATTGATTGGACCAAGCCAGGGATGGCGCCAGGGCAGTGGCTGTGGTTTTCCTTCTAAAGAGGATAGAGCAAGCTGGAAGCTGCAGGTGTCAAGAGAAATGCTGGATGCCAGCCAGGGGAGACACACCAAACCTCGTGACCACCTCGTGCTGTACTGGAGAACAGTTCCATGAGTTAAACAAAAATATGTCCTCCTGCCATCTTGAAATCATGTCTCTGTGGGCTTAATGTGAGGCTAGTGCATCGTGGTTTTTATCAGATTGGGAAGAGGTGGGGCAAATGTTAACAAGTTGCTAAATACTTGAAATTGGATATTAAAGGTTACCAAGTGTTGATTCAATTGTATAAGAAATTGTCCGACCTTTTTTCTTAAACATCAAGATTAGGACACATTTCTAGCCAGGCGTGGTGGTGCACACTTTTAATCCCAGCTCTTGGGAGGCAGAGGCAGGCAGATTTCTGAGTTTGAAACCAGCCTGGTCTACATACAGAGTGAGTTCTGTAGGCTACGCAGAGAAACAAAGAAAGAAACAAGACACGATTCAAAGGCATTTTAATGCCAACTGCAGCGCATCCTTTATGACACTTTGGTTTGGGGACTACCTCTGGTTTTCCATCTCTCAGAAATGTAATTGTGGTGCTGGGACTTCACTGGTGAGAGTTTCATTTTAACCTCAGAATGTCAGCCTCTGGTCTGGAGCCACAGACATCGAATGAATTACAGAAAACACAAGCAGTCGCCCAGGCCTGCAATCGGACCCTGTCTCGGTGTTCGCAGATGATTTCTGTGGTTTGCACGAATGCAATATGAGCATGCCATTGACAAGAAGGCTGAGTTTACATAAATGAGCTCGATTGAGACTCAGCTACCTTTCTTCCTTTCGTGGTGTAATTACAGCCCTATCTGGAGACAGCAAACATGGTGAGCAGATTGTATTACCTACTTCACTCAAACACTGGGGAAGTTACTTTAGTTGAATTCCTCCTCCCAGAAGTCTCATCCAGGCCCAGTGTGTGGCATGCAGCGAGGAGAAGATGTAAGTCAGCCAGCAGAGGTTAATGTGTTGGGAGTGAGCTCTGTGTTAAGAACGGCTTATACTGTCACAATCTGTGCCCCTATAGATTGCCCATACAACATTCCACTCCTCTGTTTGCGATGTGGCTTCTCAGTAAACCCGGCTTAATTAGTAACTATGGCTACAATGCTACAGCTCTGACTACGTTCTAATCATTAACATCCACTCGGAGTCTGGATGGCACCATGCCTCAGATCGGGTTCACTCTATGGTCGTCTGAAAGCCACTCCCCTCTCACCTCAATTTCTTCTCCTGTGAATGAGATTAAACCAGGTAAGTATGACGGCCCTCTCAGGCTGGTTGTGAGTTGGCAGTGTCACGCTGGAGTGGCCACACCTGGAACCCCAGCACCTTGGGAGGCTGGGGCAGCTTCGCAAGGCTACATAGGTCACAGGCTGGCACGGACTGAACAGACCCTGACTGAAGACAAACCAAGATTACCATTTCTGACTGTCTGGTAAAAGTGCTGTGTGGGTCCCGGGGAGGGGTGGGGGCACCTTGAGATAGATCCTTTACGGAATACAGGAGATAAATGATGAGCCGGCCACCTCACGTGTGAACAGTTTAGCTCCATTTGCCTTAGGTGACATGTTTCTGGATTCTTGTGGTTTGGTTGGTGGTGGTGGTGGTGATGGTTTTTTGTGTTTGTTTGGTTTTGGTTTTTTGTTTTGTTTTTGTTTATGGGTTTGTTTTTGAGACAGGGCTTCTCTGTGTAGCCTTCGCTGCCTCCCCGAGTGCTGGGATTTAAAGGCGTATGCCACTGTGCCCAGTGGATTCTTGTGATTTTAACTCCCACCTTTCTTTGGGACCTTTCCTGCCTCCCTTTTATTTCCCCAGCAGCTTCTGTGACCTCTGTTCTGTCTCATCCTTTAAAAAGGCAAAGAGAAAGAATCTCAGGTATCACAGACTGGCCTTTCCTCCCTGGGTAGCAGAAGATGGCCTTAAACTGGTTCCTGGAGTGCCACCTAGATGACACTGCAACCCACCTGTCTCCTGGGATCCCCCGACTCCACCCTGCAGCACCAGACTTCCAGACTTGCTATTTATAGGAGAGCTGGGCTATGAAGCCGGGTTCTCATGCCTGCAACAACAAAATGCCTTTACCTGCTGAGGCCTCTTCCCAGCTCCACACTCTGGTCTGGAATCTTTGCTTTCTTCTTCACTGGCCCCTTTACATGCTCCCTGTGCCTAAATCCTCTGTTTGTCCATCTCCCTCCAGTTTTTTCTCTCCAGCTTTAGGAAAAACCTTGCCGGGAGTGGTGGTTCATGCCTTTAATTTCAGCACCCCGGAGGCAGGTGGATCCCTCTGTTAACTTAACCAGCCTGGTCTAGACGGTGAGTTCCAGGTCAGTCAGTATTATACAGTTAGACTATCTCCAAAAAATAAACAAACAAACAAACAAAGCTGTGCAGTCTGTTGTTAACTCTCAGGGGTGGTGATTGTCAGACTGGGTCCATACTGTCTAGACCAGTGCCATCCCTTTGAAAATATTTAGAATGCAAGAATCAGGTCCCTGTCTGTACCACGCTTTTGAAATGGCTTCAAGATCACAGGCAGATTCTTACAGCGGAAGAATCTTTAAAGCACAAGCACGCCCTTACAGGCCTGAGTCATTTCATGCTGTAGCCAGTCCCTGAGCTCTTGTGACCGACCTATACCTCTTCTCTAGACTGTCCTTCCTCTTTCTTACTCCAACCCAAGAGACATTCTTTTCTAGACATTTTGATTGTACCTTCCAGAAACTCTAAAGCAGTTCCCTGCCTCACTGAATCTCTTGCTTTCTTTGTTGGTATCGGAACCAAATACAGGGCCTTGCTCACGCCAAGGAAATGTTCTGCTGGTGAGTACATACGCCCCTGGCCCTAAAGTCCCTTCTCTGTTACGATTTTTATTTGCATTTGGTTTCCTTTTTTGAGACAGGCTCTCCTATATCCAAGGCTAGCTTCAAATTTGCTATGTAGCCAAGGATGATCTTAAGCTTCTGATCCTCCTGCCTCCGCCTCCTTAGTGCCAGGACTGCAGGTGTGTGGCCCCATATGTGGCTTATGCAATGTGGGGGCTGGGGGGCACCAAACTTAGGACTCTGTGCATGCTGGAAGAGTACATGCCCAGCCATAAATCTTCCTGTAAACTCTTCAATTTAGGGATGGAAACATTGCTGGGGTTGGGGGAGGGGGAACTAGACCAGTGCCATCCCTTTGGGAATATTTAGAATGCAAGAATCAGGTCCCTGTCTGCACCACCCTTTTGAAATGGCTTCAAGATCGCAGGCAGATTCTTACAGCAGATCTCTAAAGCCCTTGCTGGGTTTAATGCGCAGAACCCATATGGCAATTTGAGGTGGTCTGTAACTCCAGTTCCAGGGAAACAAGTGCCCTTTTCTAGTCTCCATGGGCATCAAGCAGGCAGGTGGCACACAAACATCTCTACAGCCAAAATATTCATATAGGTAAAACAAGATTAAATATTCTCCAGGGATTTTAGTGACATCATCTTTAAACCCTGTGTGGCAATCTCTGACACACCTCATGATGCCCAGGGAAGACAGGGCAACATAGAAGTCCAACCACCTCCTTGAGGTCATCCAGCTTGTGGATGATTCCCCAGAATGTTTCACTGTGGGTGCAGACAATGTGGGCTCCAAGCAGATGCAGCAGATTGGCACATTCCTCTGCGGGAAGGCCGTGACACTGATGGGCAAGATCATCATGGTCCTTAAGTAGCTTCCCTTTCCTCTTGCCTCTCCTCAATTCTTCATCTGATTTGTCACTTTTTCTCCCACTCAGTTAGACATCACTTTCAAACATGGGTGTTTCCTTCTACAAACTAACTTTACTTTCATTGTTTGGGATTAAAGGCATGTTCTACCACGTCTGGAGGTAAACTTTTCTTTACCTGAAACTTGTTCAATACCAGGCTGGCCTTGAACTCAGATCTGCCTGCCTCTGTCTCCTGGATTCCAGCCAGATCACACAGACCTAGAGAGTCTTTGGGTGAGATCTCTTGCCAGAGCAGCCATGTTCTGAATCCCTCTGCAGAGTTGACTTTATAACTCTTCTGCTTGGAAAAATAGTGACCCTGCATATTCTCCATCATAACAGGTCAAGACTGGAAAGGCCAGGTGCTGTACAACACCTGTAACCCTGGCACCTGGTAGGCTTGGCGAGAGGATCCTGAGTTCGATGCCAGCCTGAACTACAGAGCAAATTCCAGACTTTCCTGAAGTAAGTGGCAAGACTTTCTCTCAAGACAAACACAAGGGGCTGGAGAGATGGCTCAGTGGCTAAGAGCACTTGCTGCTCTTGCAGAGGACCCAGGTTCAACTCCAGCCACCCACGTGGTAGCTCACAGCCATCCCTAAATCCAGTTCTAGGAGCTCCAACACCTTTTCACCTCTAGCTCTCCAATTGGTGAAATGCATGTGGTACACATACCTACATGCAGGCAAAACATTCACACACATAAAATAATAAAATTTGGAAAAAAAAAAAAGCAAAAAGACATGGATGGAGGAAGGTGTCTCAGTCATTAAAGTACTCACTGAGCACATGTGAAGACCTGAGCTTGCATCCCCAGCACTGAGAGAAAAGCAATCCCAGCACTGGGGAATTGGAGGCAGGAGGATTCCTGTCAGCTCGTCTAGAGAAGTTAGGGAATTCCACTAACTCACTGAGAGACTGTGTCCAAAAATAAGGCAGAGAGCAACTGAAGAGGACACCCAGTGTCAATCTCTGGCCTCTACACACATGCAACGCAAACACACCACACTCCACACAGAGCTGAGTGTATTGACCTTCGCTTGTCATTGCTGCACTCTGTGACACGGTGGGTGAGGCAGAAAGCTCACCCTTGGCACCCTTACTCTGGTAAGGGTAAGGCCCTGAGTGAGGCCCTGTCTCTAAACAAAGCAAAAGCCTGTGGGACAATTTGTCTTAAAACTCGGAAGCTGGGGTGGCGGTGCACATCTGAGGTCTCAGCACTGGAGAGCGAGGGGCAGGAGTTCAAGATCAGCCTCTGCTACAGGACATGCTGTGCCTTAGTGGCACGTGTGCCATAAGGTGGTACACAAGACGCCACTGCTCTGCATCTGTGTCGGCTCCTGCCCTGCCCGCATCTTCCCTCTCAGGCTCCAGGCTCTTCGGGCAAACAGAAGCTTTCTGTAAGCTGGCCGAAGCTTCTCATGACCAGCACCACAGAGAAACCATCTTGTGGGATGAGAAGCCACCTTCACTTATCCAAAAACTTAGAAGAACCCTTAAGGTTTGTTCAAAGGGACACAAACAAAATGGTCTTTGGCTTAAATTTTTTTTTTCATGCTGCAACTGTATGAGCTTATTCTGTTACTGTCATTTTTGCCTACTCTCCCACACTGCTGCTGCTCCTGGTGGTTGTCTTAAAAGACAAAGTTTCAGACTGGAAAGATGACCCAGAAGTTAAGAGCACTGGTTGCTCTTCCAGAGGGCCCAGCAACCACATGGTGACTCATAACCATCTATAATGAGATCTAGTGTTCTGACGTGCAGGTGTACATGCAGGCAGAAGACTGTATTCATAATAAATAAATAAATCTAAAAAAAAATCCTTGTTAAGTGGTGGCACACACCTTTAATTCTAGCACTTGAGAGGCAGCCTGATCTACAGAGTGAGTTCCAGTACAGCCAGGGTACACAGAGAAACCCTGTCTCGAAAAATTTAAAAAAAGAAAAAAGACAAAGTTTCACTCTGAGGCCCAGGCTGGCTTCTCATTCATGGCTGCTGTCCTTGATAGCCAGGCTTGAACACTGTGTTCTTTGTCCTGTTTGGGTCTCTGTGTATACATTTATTAGCATATATTACATATACATAATAATGGGTTTCATTATGGCAGTTTCAAATATGTATATAATGTATTTTATGTATGTTCACCTACTTTACCCTCTCTGGTCCCTATCCCATTCTACGGATCTCATTCCTCTTCCAAACCAGTTCCCCTTGCTATCCGGCCTTTTGCGTGTGTAACCCAGTGAGTCTCATTAGGCTTCCTTATAGGCACATGGGTGAAGGGTTATTTACGTAACAGGGGCATCTTAACAGTAGCTGCCCACTAAAGAGAACGTTTCTCCCTCCCACAGCAACCTGTTAGGTGCCTGTCAATCCTCAGCGAGGGGTGGGAACCCCTTCCTGCTCCATGGCAGAATATTGATTGGTTCCAGATCTGTGCAGGTCGAGCGGGTGCAGCAAGTAATCTTGGGTGCTGTGACTTCGGAGAGAAGTTCCGCCGTGTTCCATCCTTCCTATAGCCCTTATATTCCTTCCACCCCCGTCCACAAAGTTCTCTGTTATTTGCCTCAGTTGAAGATCTTCAGCTGCTTAACATGCGTGAGCCCCGACCCCCACCCTTCAGGTTCAATCCTCAGAACTAAATAAACCAGGTGTAGAGTTAGAGTTGTAGGTGTGCAGTTAAGAGGGTCAGAAGTTCAAGGTCACCTTGAATACAGAGTCCAAAGCCAGCATGTGGTACATATAGATCCTGTCTCTCAAAACAAAACAAAAGAATAATAATAATAATAATAATAATAATAATAATAATAATAATAAACCTTTCTGTGTTGCTATATGCCTTGTTGTGCCCGAATCGTGATACCCCAAAAGACCAGGAATAAGGTTGGGTTCTTTATGGAAAAGTTTATTTGGATTATCAGGATTCTGATAGCCAGAAATTCCAGATATCATGGCACTGACACCTGGCAAGGGGCTGCTAACTTCGTGTAACAGTATGTGTGGAAGAGATCACATGATAAGAGAAGAAAGAGCCAGTGAGCTGAGAAAGCTGAGCCACTTTTCTGTCACCTCACCAAGAACTGTAACCCGGTCCCAGGAGATCTGCCACTTCAGTGACCTACTCCTAGAGAATTTACTAATGTCTCCTAATGGTGGCAACCACCGTGACCTACCCTCCTCTTAGAGACTGCCGCCGCTCATCAGCATACTAGAGACCCAATTTCTACAACAGGGACTTCGGAGGGATAAACTGTCCGAGCTATAGCAAACATTCTCAGTTAAACTGGGCTTTCATCATTTCCGGCCTCGGTTGAGTGCCGCCTTGCTGCTCCTGCTCACCTTCCAGGCATTTGCCTCTTGCCCATGCTCCCCTGCTACACTGCAACTTCGATTGTGTATGTAGAACATCCCACTGGTGCTGTTTCTGCTTTTCTTTCTCCCTCCCTCCCCTCCCCCATCAGGATTCCTCTCGTTGCATTTTTTACGTACCATCATACACACGTGGAGGTCAAAAGACAGCTGGTAGGTTCTCTACTTCCAAGTAGGTTCCAGAGATCAAACTCAGGCCATCAGGTTTGGTGGCAAGTGCCCTTAGTCATCTTGTCATCTTCTGTGAGACAGGATCTCATGTCGCTCAGGCTGGCCTCCTACTCAGTATGTAACAGAGAAAAAACATGAACCTGACCCTTCTCCCTTCACTTCCCAAGAGTTGAGATTACAGACATGTGATACCACATTGGGATTTTTTTTTTTTAATTCTTTCAAAACATCTTTGGTGAAGTATAATTTATGTACTATATAATACAAATGTTTATATTTATAATATATAATATAAATTGCATATGTTTTGTTTACAATTCAGCAGTGCTACTAATATATAATATATATATACTTTATATATAATATATAAATATATAATATATTTATACTTTATATATGTATGTATGTATGTATGTATGTATGTATGTATGTATGTATGTATCCAGACATGGTGGTACATGTGTTTAATCCCAGCACTAGAGAGGCAGAGGCAAGAAGAACTCTCTTGAACTGAAGGCCTACCGGATCAGGCAGGGGTACATAATGTGACCCTCCAAAACAAAACTGTCTATCTGTGTGTGTGGGGGGGGGGGGGGGGGGGGGG